AAATTTGGTGAAATTATTTTCTATGTACATTTGTGTCAATAATTTTAACTTAACTAGTGAGCTAAGCACATTTTTCCACTCAATAAGTGTCAGAAAAATTAATTCTCTAAATTCTCTAAATTTTTCTGAAATGTCCTTTTACTAAATATACTTTAAATACAAGACAATGAAAATTGTCAAAATATTTGTATATGTTATTTAGAGAATAAAAAACCATGGAAAGAAACTTAAAAAAATATCAATAAGGAGATGTTATGGGAGAAGAGATCGAAACTAGTGGACTGGAAGCAATACCTGACACTGTAAAAGAGTACCTGTGAAGGCGCATGGGAACTCATCCATAGCCCAGTGGAGTATTTGCCTCACATAAGAAAACAGACACTTCTTTGCTTGCCTGGAAGACACTAGAGACAGAATAGCAGAAGTGGGGGTTATGAAAACGCATCAGTTTCTACTTTATCAGAGTTCTTTTCTTTCCTCTATCTCAAGTAAAATTTGAGTTTAGGATTCCAAAAAATATTGTTTTTGGCAAGCCTCTTTGCATTTTCTAAAATCCATCTGAAGCACTATCCACATCTCTGGCAAAGTCAGGGAGCCCTTGTGTCTATATGACATGATCCTGTTGCTATGGGTAACTGAGTGTTTACTAGAGAAAATATTACCAGTTAATAATAGCCTAGATGGAAATAATAGCCACTGCTAGGCTTTCAGTGTTACACACCATCAATTTCCAATTTGCTGAAATAGGTGTAATTTGCTTTTTGAGCTTGAATGCATGACTTTTTCCAGGCGTCCATGATTCTACTCCCACACCATACACCACAGACCTATACCCACATGCTCACATGCTTCTAAAGAATGTTCTACTTGTCCAAAATGATGATAGAGGGAAACTGTTATGTTGGAGACTTGTCATGATTTCAACAGTAGGAATAATGAATAAATTATAAAGGTTACTATTTACTGGCATTGGTTGATAGTGAAATCACAGAGGGTATAATCACAGGAAGAGTGTAATTTATACTATTTCTTATATTCGCCCCTTTTCAGAATCTCATTCCCCAGAAGGAAATCAAACTTCAGATATGTTGAATTATTTTGTCAAAAGTTATGCCTATGCATAACAAAAATGCTTTTGAAGTATTCAACTCACTGAGTAGACTATTTAATGCATTTGTTCATTTATTGATTACATTTTGCCATTATTCATTCATTTAGCAAATATTTACTGAGTTCTTCACCCATCTAGTTCTTGGGGATAAAGACCCTGCTTTAGCTCTCAAAGGACTCTCAATATTTCAGTGAAATTGTCTCTAGTAATATCAGCCCTCACACTGACTGCCAACAGAGTGCAGCTTGGGAGGACTCAGATCATGACTCAGATTTCATGTCCTCTCACAATCAGCCACCTTCCACCCATGTGTTGATTGGAGGTTGTGTGCAGTCATGGGGGTGGGTAGGCTGTTGTCTAGGCCTATGGGAAGGAAAATCTCTCCTTCAACATCTGGAAACAAATACAGCCTTGAGAGTTCCAGCTGCTTCCAGAGAAAACCTGAAGAAATACTTAGCTACCATGACAACCGGCTCTATCAGATTTCTCCACATCTGTGAGAGCAGGACAGTCAGTGAGTGGTCCAGTTGGTATGAATATGAATAAGAGGTGGGGCTCATTTTTGGAGACTAAATCTCTTAAGTCAGTGGTTCACAAGGCTCAGTGTATAGGAGAATTACTAGCTAGGGAGAGGAAAGGTTAAGGCAGATCTTCAGTTATTGCCTACTCAGTGTGATTCAGTATTTCCAAAAGGAAAGTACAAGAATCTGTATTTTTAACAACCTCTAAGCCTGTTTTGATGAAGGTGGTCCCAAGGCCATATTTCTTTCGAAGAAGAGACAAACTGCCATTTTGGATATAATGTTCTAAAAGCAGATATTGAAGCAGATCAACTGAGAGGCAAAGGGGATCAGTCACAAGAGTTATGTTCAGTGTGATAGATGGAAAGCGTGGCGTAGTATTAGTGGATCTGGAGAAGGGGAAGTGGACTTTGAAAAGATTTAGAACTTGGAGTCAATAAAGTTTTGAGAAAGATCAGATTGGAAAGTTGAAAATTTACAACCACGACTATCCATATTACCTGGAGAGAGATGCCTTAAATGAAGAATTTCATTTTGTATATACTGATTTTGGCCTGTGTGGATTGTCCTTCAGTCCAGCACCTACTAATGCCTGCTAGATTTTTAGGCAGAGAAATTATAGTGAGGTAGTTGGGTTGGGTGAGGATCTGAGGATGGGGATTAAAGCACTCTGACTTAGGGAGGTCACGGTATAGAAGCTTCTTGTGTAAGAAACCCTGACAGTGAGCTACTCTTTCTCCCACAGAAGCCTGAATTCCACCACTGAGGCAGAGAGAGAATGGGAGGGGAGTTTGTGACCCACTAAGCTCACATCAGTGGAATTCTGGCCTCACCTGGACCTGCCAGCAAATATGTGGGATCACATGGTGAAGAAGACATGACATTTAGTTAAGAGGTTGCTTTCTAAGCTACTTACTAGATGAATAAGTACTGGGAAGTATATTTCTTATTCTAAGAGGTTAAAAACTGAGTGGTAAGTGTAAAAAACAGCTATTTGATTTGGCTCTTTTGTATCTGTCATAAACATATATCCCATTTTGATATATTTTTCTTTAGAACAGAGGCTGGGATTCTATATCCTATGGACCTAATTCATCTACATCCATTTTTTAAGGTATTGTTTATTGCTGTTTTCCTCTCATGATAGGAGAGTTTTGTAGTTGACAGAGACTAGCCCACAAATCCAAGATGATGTACTATCTGGGTTTTTGGAGAAAAAGTTTGTCAATGGTTGACTTAGCAGAATCCTTTAAAAAGCTGGGGTTACTAGGAGGTATTGACTGAACAATTGATATTAATAAAAATGATGAATTGTATAACTAAAGTGACTGATGTTTATCAAATACTTTTTGTTCATGTTAGCCTAATGAGTTCCATGAAAGGGCTCTGAGATGGATATTCTGAATCCCTATTTCTCAGAGGAATAAATGGAAGAGGAGAGGCGAAGCAATTTTCTTGGCTCTGATTTTGGTAAATCACAACCAGCACTTCGAATGCGTGGTTTTGACCACTTTGGTTCTACCCTAGAGCTGAGGGTATCTATTTATGGGGACAACTCATCTAGTGGGATTCCTAAAGTGCTGAGATATCTTTTGAGCTCCTGGGCATCTCAGTACAAATCTCAGCAATAGAAATTCATCTTATGGATCAACAAGTCCCTCTTTGAAGATGTAAAATAAGGTGAACATGCTAAATCTGGCTTTGAATCACTTGCATTTTGAGAGGAAGTCTCTTAAGGAAATGCACTTCTCTTTACAGGAAGATATGTTGCCTGGTGGGGAAAGGAGCTGCATGAGGATTGGCAAAGGAGTGAGAGGTGGAGAGCAATATTGCCAGGCCTGGCCAAGACCCAGAAGGGAAGATCTGGAGGAGTGGGCATCAGGAAGTAGAGGGAAAGGAAAAGGACAAGCATCCAGCACATGCCAATTTATTCTTCTTCCTTATGATTCTCCTGCTTAATTGGTGTTACTGAGAGAGACTGGTACTTCGACAAACAGATCATGGGCTTGACTTATTTTAGTGATTCTTGCATTCTTATCATCTTTTCCTTGCTGCCCTCTGACCAACCTCTTGTCTTACCTCACAGTGATCTATATACTTACAGCCTCGGCACTGACAAGCTTCTTGATGATGAGCAAGTTGGCTCTGAGAGAATTCCTTGCCAAGAGAGAAGTCCTACACAAGGAGAATGCTCCCCACCAGAGCATCAGTAGAGCAAATCTGTGGATTCTATTTTCAGGCAGGCTATAAATTCTGGACACGGCATTAGTTAAGAGAAGATGGGACATCAGTAAATATCAGGGTCACATGGTTTCCAGTTAAAATGGAATCAGCATGACATTGATATGATACATTGTGTTCTTTGCTCAGAGATGTTCTTGGGTGACACAGGAAACTTGGGATGTTTCTTCTCTGCCAAGTAATAATCAAGTGGGGGGGACTGGAATGGAAAATTAGTTTTGTATTTGAATGTCCTTAGAAAGAAACTGAAATTACAGCCCCTTATGTTGGTGGTACCATCTTAACAGAGTGAAAATAACTTGTTTTTCTGTCTCACTTTTCAGTGAATGATAGAAAATGGTGTACGTGATAAAGGAGTTTTCATTTTCAAAAAGGATTTCCAAAGAAAGACTGGAGTGGATCTATCACACCATTGCCCATAAATGTGTATAATTATTACATGTTACCAAAAAGTTTTTAAAAGAAAAAACATGAAATAAAATGACTTGATGAGAAGATAAATTTATCTATTTTAGTGTACTTATAATTAAATAGTTTTATTAGAAAATAAAACTCAGTACATTAGATTTTTACAATTGTACCACAGTCTATATTATTTGGAGAACTTCATTAATATGGCAGGGAAACATCCTTTGCATAATAAAATGAAATGAATTGAGACTTGTAGTTTATAGGTCCCATGTCTGTTCTTACTTATATTGGATAGCTTCAGAAGAGTCATTACCTTTTAATGCTTGATTTTCTTATCTGCTTAATGAAGAGATTGAATTAGACTTCCAAGTTTTATCTCTCAATATAATTCTGTGCTTCATTTTGGCCATGGACTATGATCAACATTTGTTTTCCCCCCTTTTGATCCTTTGAGAGGACATTTTCTCTTGAGCTGACTCTTTAAATTATTATACTCAGAATCCTGATCCTTTAGTATTATCCTTCCCAGTCATTGTAGAATCTCTGAGAATCTTGATTTCCTGGAATTTGAAGATGTGTGGATTAGAGTCTCGCAGCTTATCTAAAACCCCTGTGACAAATCACCTTTGCATTCTTCCTGTTCTCCTCCAGGGACCAACAGCCTGCTAGCTCCAAAGCTCTACCATATGAATTTATCCTGGCTTAATTTTCATTGCATCAACTTTGAGCAAAATATGACATAAGCCTCTGACATAGTAGATTTAGTTAAGGGTACAGCTATTCTATTATTTAAAAAACCATTTATTTGGGTAATACAATAGTCTTATTGCTTTTACAACAGTGTATCACATAGCCATTCCAACCAAAGCTTATGAATCATTATGATTTCATCAAGTCTGAAGAGAAGGAATGACTGGCTGGTGGTGTGAATCAATGCCAGAAAAATCACAAAACACACAGTTCTGCTTTAACATTTATGAGTGTTACATGTACAAAATTGATTCATGGGGAGAGAGGAAGGATAGAGATAGGAAGAGAAGGAGAGAGAGACAGAGGCTGCTGACAGTGATGGTGGATTTTATAGTATTATAGAGGGAGCAGTGATATTCCAGGCTGTTCTGAAGAGCCCATTTGGAGTTGTCTCTTTATAACACTAAGACATGTGAAACAAGTATATCATATCACTTTATCCACTGTGATTTTTCCCACTTCATTTCAGTTGTTTGGAGAGCATGGGGTTAATTGACATTAAGCCCTCAGTTTATAAGAACATTTAGCCAAGGGAAGGTTGGCAACTTTAAAGCTTCTTTTATAACACATATGTGGGGTCAAGTTTTCTGTTCTGAGAGAGCTTCAATGTTAAGAATTCTGGATTTTCTTGGGAAATGAAAGTTTAATAATGGAGTTGTCAGAAGCAGTGGTCAAACTCTTGATAATAAAATCATTGGATAAAAAAAACAAGCAACATCATGAGTTAGCTTCTAGTATAGGAGTTGTTAGGAGCAGAATTCTCTCATGAAGTTGGCTGTAGGAAGTAAGGGCATAGTTAAATTTCAGCTGAATTTAATTTTTTACTTAAATGGCATTATTTGATTTCAATTCCATCACATAATTCAATTCAAATTATGTAGAATGATACCTTAAGTAAACTACTAATAGTCTAGGTTTAATGTTAAGATTCCAGGCTCAAAATCTGGGATACTTAATTTCGTCTAAAATATATGCATGTGCATTGCAATGTATATCGTGAAAGAAAACAAATGATTGGTTGAGAAAGTAACAAAATTGAAACTCAGAGGAAGAAGAAGTCATGGAAGTCTCTAGTCTTGGAATTGTTCCTTGCAATGTGACAAGCAGAAAGGAGCAGGACAAGTGTATCTGTGACCTTCTGATTTATTTGAAGTTTAGCTGATTTGGTAGCATGATCCAATCCTTCCTTTTCGACATTTGTCCCACAAATATTTCCTGTGTTAAAAAATGGGAAGCATCTTGGTTATGTGTATGTGTATGTGTATGTGTGTGTGTGTCGGGGGGGAAGGGTAGTGGAAGATGGCAATTCCAGAGGGTTTTTCTTTTCTGTCTTTTAGTTATTTTGTGGTCCACGCTAGTTATTAAGCGCTGATATGCTGATCTCATTTGTGATTGATGTCGAGCTCTTTGGAACTCTCATCTGAACAACTGAACACACCTTTTTGGCCACTCAACTTATTATTCTCGAAAATAAGGATCCCAAATAAACTCACGTGCAATCATAATTGTAGACAAATACTTTCAGCAATCCCTCTAATGTGTAAAACAGATGCTTTTCCTGGAATATATATTTCATATGAAGAGAACATGCTAATTGTTACAAAATTTTAAAATGAGAAATTAAAATTGGATTGATGATTTGATTTTGTCAGAGTTTAACAAAAGCCTTGCATATGACTCAAGACTTTGGAGGAAAAGTGGAGTTTGGATTAATTCCAGGCAAAGAGTTAGACTTGCTATCATTGCTACTGGATTATTTTGACTTTTGGAATGTGATATGTGATGTCCATAACTGGGAAAAGAAGCTAAAAAAATCATTAGCCCCCAATTTGATGGGAAGCCTATTTGATTAGAAGCAAGCAGCTGTTTAGATTTCTCTCCCTCAGCCTTTTTTCAGGGTGCTCTGGGCAGTTCTGCTTTTCCCTGTCCCAGAGCTCTAATGTGAGCCTCAGGTGGAGACTTTGCCTCTTTCCAGCATTTTCCAACTGGAACAGGCCCTTTGCATTTTTGTCCTCCAACCTCATTTCAAGCCTTTCTTTAGTTCATGCCATTCATCTTCCTGTGTGGATGCAGTGAGTGTCCACAACACAGCCAATGATCTTGGCCAACTTGCATCAGGCTCATGTGCTTTGAGGGAGACTGTTTCATAAGCCCTCCTTTTTTTGGCTGGATTTTTACTTTTTTATTGTATGAAGAAATGACAAAATTTCATAACCAAATAATAAGAGAATAACATAGTTATTATACTGTGTGTCATTATCTTCAAAGTAGTTACTCAGAGTACAAGATAAACCAAAAAGATTCTTACAAAAAAGAAACAAACAGATAATAATACAAAACTTTCTTTTCAATAAACTAAGATAAACTAGTAGTATAGATGAAACAAATTAGTATATACATTGAAATATTTTTAAAACAACAGAATGTTTAATTTGGGGAAGTATTTGAACTTCTCCCCTACTTCCTATTTATTTCTCTTCTATTTTGTTCTTTATTGTGTATGATAAGTATAAATATATAAATATTTTTTGTGTATTTCTCATATAAGAGGAGCCAAGTGATATTTAAGTTTGTGTGTCTAAATTATTTCACTTAACACTATGTTCTCAAGGTACATCCATTTACCCGCAAATCCCTCACATTTATCTTTCTTTATGGAAGCACAGTACTCCATTTTGTGTAAATACCACATTTTCCTTATCTATTTGTAAGCATTCTTAACTCAATACTTTCGGAAAAAAATAATGAGACAATATTTGCTCACTAGGAATTTGTAATAGATATTTGACAACCAAGAGCCTGCTCTGTTCCTAGTCTTTCCTGGGGTCGCCAGTCTTTTCCTTCAGTCACTGCAAGATGCACCTCCCTTCTCCTGCCTGCCTACATTACTCCTGCTTCTGTTTTTCACATACCTGCCTCTTGGAATTCTGATTTTGAAGCCACTTTTAGCTTTTTTTCCCTAAAGTCACTGTAGGTCTTTTCTTGATGCCTCTGTTTTGATTCTCCTACACACTTGCATACTTCTTCGGTATATTCTTGGTGTATCCGGTAAAGACACTCCCTGTCAGAAGCATATATGTTTTCAACTCCTTCATGCTTTCTGGAGCCTTCAGCTCTGCCAAAGAAAGTATTTCAGAAAAGCCTTCTGAAAGTTTTTTTATTTTATCTTTTCTCTGGGCCACGGATCAAGATATTCCATCTACCTCATTCGTAATTCCTCTTTTCCTCTTCCATTGAGGTGCCTCTGGAGTGTGCATGCACACCACCTGGAGCGGCGGGAGAGCGGAATATGGGTGAAAGCTTTTAACCTGCACCCACTGTGTGTCCAGGAGATGCAGATGCTGCTGGCTCCATGGCAATATTGTGAGTAACAAAGCTGTGCTCTTCATTGTTTTCATTCCTTGGATGCTGTGGTAGTTTCCTAGGACTGACTGTCACTACAAGTTACTACGAGTTGAATAATTAGCTGGCCCAGGCATGTAGCTCAGTGGTAGAGCACTTGCCTAGCATGTGTGAGGCCCCGGGTTTGATCTCCAGCCCCATAAAAACAAAACTAAACAAAAGATCCGATTAGAGAGTAATAGTACATTCTGAAGTACTGGGATTAAGATTTCAATGTAGCTTTTTGGAACTGTTCAACCCGTGACACGGATCTATTCTATTTTCCAATCTTCAAAGAGAAATTTAGGACTTTTTTCTCCCTGGTTATTTTTTTTCATTTTTTTTCTATACTGCCCAACACTTGAAACATCAGAAGTTACATATCTTTAATTTATAATGAGCCAGGAAATGTGCAGACATCATCAGCAAAGAGGCATCAGAATAGGATCATTCAACAAATAACCTTCTTATTCCAGGACATAGAAGTAGACAAGGCATGAAGTGTTGAGTAGCCCAGTTCTAAAATTCAACTCAATTTTTCACTTATTAGTTCTCTTCTCATTTTGCTTTTGCCCAACTTCTGTTTTTCTTTTTTTTTTAATAAGAAAAATGGATATAATGACACCTGGTCATAAAGGGATTGTTGAGAAGGTAAAAGAAGCTTCTGAATCACCTAAGACATGGACACTGGATCGTTGTGACCATTATCATCATAGTGCCTGTCTGCATCTTGAGTGTCCAAGCAGAGCTGTCGGCAGCACCTGGACTGGTCATGCAGTCAGCCACCAGGCTGTGAGGAAGGCTTGCAGGCAGAAGATCTCCACCTCTCTCGTCTTCTCTGTCAACCACACAAAGGCTTCAAGGAGCCAAA